TAGAGAGCAATCTTGCCTGGAAAGATCCTCTGGTATGATCAGAAAAACACTAGGACTGAGGATGTTACCTAGTTTGGGTAAGGAAACCTCTTGCAAGAAAACAACAAAACTCAGAGAGTACCAAGGACCCCTCATTAATAGAGGGATTATTGAGCTGCATTAACAGAGGGACAGAATCATCCTTACAGAATCGTAAAGTTCTAGTATCGCTTTACAAAGCCTTTAGTAAAGACCACATTTGGAATGCTGCATCCAGTTCTGGTCACCACAATATAAAAAAAAGATGTTGAGACTGCAAAGCAATGGTGAAATCCAAATTTTTTTTACTACCGATTCTGTGGGCGTGGCTTGGTGGGCGTGGTGTGGCATGGTGGGCGTGACAGGGGAAGGATACCGCAAAATCTTCATTCCCACTTCACTCCAGGGGAAGGATACTGCAAAATCTCCATTCCCACCCCACTTCTGGGGTGGCAAATATCACCTCTGGTTGGCCCACTCCTGGGGCCAAACAGAGGTGATATTTGCCAGTTCTCCGAACTACTGAAATTTTCCGCTACCAGTTCTCCGAACTGCTCAAAATTTCCGCTACTGGTTCTCCAAAACCCTTTCAGAACCTGCTGGATTTCATCCCTGCTGCAAAGAGTCCTGGTAGCGCAGCAGACTAAAGCACTGTTATTAACATCAGCTGCCTGCAATTACTGCAAGTTCAAATCTCACCAGGCTCAAGGTTGACTCAGCCTTCCATCCTTTCTAAGGTAGGTAAATTGAGGACCCAGATTGTGGGGGCAATAAGCTGACTTTGTATAAATATACAAAAGTATGAAGGATATTGCTTAACGCATTGTAAGCTGCCCTGAGTCTTCGGAGAAGGGCGGCATATAAATCAAATTTAAAAAAAAAAAGAGTGCAGAGAAGAGCAACAAGAATGATTAAAGTGCTGGAGGCTAAAACATACGAAGAACGGTTACAGGAATTGGGTATGTCTGGTCTAATGAAAGACAAGGGGAGACATCAGTGGTGGGTTGCCCCCGTTCGCACCGGTTCTATAGAACCAGTAGTAAAACTGACGGGAGGCTCCGCCCACCGACCCCGACGTCATCAAAATGCTTCTGCGCTTGCGCAGAAGCGTGTGTGCGTGAGCAAAGCGAGCACACGCACGTAGCCCCGCTGCAAACCAGTAGTAAAGGTAAGTAGAACCCACCCCTGGGAGACATGGTAGCAATATTTGAGGGGCTCCTTCAAAGACAAGGGGGTTGAACTGTTTTTCCAAAGCACCAAAAGGCAAGACGAGAGAAAATGGATGGAAAGTAACCAAGAAGAAAATCAACCTGAAACGAAGGTTGATGGTGAGAGCAATCAACCAATGGAACAGCTGGATTTTAGAAGTTATGGGTGCTCCCATCACTGGAGGTTTCAAAAAGACTGGACAACAGCGTCTCCTGCTTGAGCAGAGGTTTGGACTAGAAGACCTTCAGGGACCCTTTCAACTCTATTGTTTTTTATGTTCTATGTTCTTTTCAACCCTGAGCTACAAATATTCTCCTTTATGGATAACGAGAAGTCAAGATGGCAGCCTTGGGGTGCAATTGAAGTGGGTTAAATTATGTGATCAAGACCTTGTACTCTTTCATTCCATGAATCTTATTTTGGAGGAATCACTTGAGAACTAAATGCAGCTTTCTGCCATTTTGAGGGAAACCGATAGTTAAATTCTCAAATAGACATGTCAGAGTTAAAGAACATGAGTTTAAACTCTCACCAAAACCCATCCCTGTCTATATGCATGATATGACCCATGCTGTTTTCGTTGTCTTCCTCTCCCTGAACAAAGTTATTTTCCCCACAATATTCGTTTTAATAAAATTAGTTGGCATTCACTCTTATAGTGGAACGTTATGTATAATTTACAAACCTCCTTTTAACCTTGAAGTTTAACTAGTTTAAGTAAGCACCTTTATTGAGAGAGTGATAAAATAAGCATGCAAAGATGAGACAAAAACAAAAAAAAGCACATTCAGGTATTCTTTTTTAAATATTGTTGCTGGGTATGAATTTCCAGTGCTGTGCAGAATAATCTTAGCAGAGTTTGTTTCTACTTTGCCTATTAATTGAGGGTTGACAATCAGACCCACACAACATATCTACCCATACTTCATAGGTAGTCCTCGATTTATGACCACAACTGAGCCTAAAATTTCTGTTGCTAATCGAGACAGTTGTTAAGTGAACTTTGCCCCATTTTACGATTTTCCTTGTCTCAGCTGTTAAGTGGATCACTGCAGCTGTTAAGTTAGTAACAGAGTTGTTAAGGGACTCTGGTTTCCCCGTTGACTTTGCTTGTCAGTAGATCGCAAAAAGGAATTACATGATCCCAGGGTACTGCAACCATCATAAATATGAGTCTGTTATCAAGCATCTGAATTTTGATCACGTGTGTCCATGGGAACGTTGCAACCGTTGTAAGTGTGAAAAACAGTTATAAGTCACTTTTCAGTGCCGTGGAACTTTGAATGGCCACTAATTGAACTGTTGTAAATCGATGACTACTTGTAATCCAATTATCTGGATTCACAAAGCAAGCTGAATTCAAAACTTAACTATACAGCCTTTGCACAGTTCTCACAACGAAATTGTGGTTGGTCACTTTTAGATTGTACAAATATGTGTGAACAAGGGATTATGGATTCAAAGATAGCCAGAGAATCTTATAATACTGTGAAGGGGTATATAAGTGCTATTGCTATTTAAGCTAAAGGATTTTTAAAATTGCCAATCATCTCCTGCAACACTATTTTAATAAGCTAACTAAACTGCATTTAACTTAACTACCATGTGCATATTCTGTAATAATTACTTGGAATTCCAAGCTTGGCTGTAAAGCTGTGAATTCTTACCAGGGGAATAGCATCTACTGAACTGACTGAGAGTTATTCCCATACAGACATAGATAAGACTGCGGTCACACCAGTGGTGGGTTGCCCCCGGTTCGCACTAGTACTATAGAACCGGTAGTAAAACCAGCAGGAGGCTCCGCCCACCGACCCCGACATCATCAAAATGCTTCTGCACATGTGCAGAAGAGCACATGCACGAGAGAAGCGAGCACAGGCACGCGGCCTCGTTGCGAACTGGTAGTAAAGGTAAGCAGAACCCACCCCTGGGTCACTCTACCTTTGAATTTCTTGTACACCGAATTGGAAAATGTAACAGAATTACTTAAGGTTTGTATTTTACTGACTTACATTTCATATGGCACAAAAAAATACAAAATTGATTTAAATATCAGTTGTAAAAATTGGCTTTAATGGCATTATGCTACTCATTGTTTGTGAAAGATGAGGTGAATATAAGGGGGGGGGAATCAGTTAACGAGCACCAAAATGAATTAATTATATTGATAGGTAAAGGTAAAGGTTCCCCTCACACATATGTGCTAGTTGTTCCCGACTCTAGGGGGCGGTGCCTATCTCAGTTACAAAGCCGAAGAGCCAGCGCTGTCCAAAGACGTCTCCGTGGTCATGTGGCCGGCATGACTAAACACCAAAGGCGCACGGAACGCTGTTACCTTCCCGCCAAAGATGGTCCCTATTTTTTCTACTTGCATTTTTTACGTGCTTTCGAACTGCTAGGTTGGCAGAAGCTGGGACAAGTAACGGGAGCTCACCCCGTTACGCAGCACTAGGGATTCGAACCGCTGAACTACCAACCTTTCAATCGACAAGCTCAGCATCTTAGCCACTGAGCCACCGTGTCCCTAATTATATTGATAATGGATATTTAATGATATTTAATGATTTATGAAATATCAGCAAGGTATGGGATTCTTTTTCCAGTTCTTTTTTTTTTTAGCTGAGTAGCTGAAAGTAGTTTGCTAAATCTAATATTTTCTGATCCTTTTTTTTTCTTTTCACCCTCCTAAACAAGGGGGTGAATTGTTTTATATAAGAACGGTTTAGAAATAAATAAAGTAGAAAAATAGCGAGGGCTACATAGAATAAATAAAGATGTCATAAAGTCTTTGCAGAGGGATGAGGAACTGTATTCTAGATAATGTCTAGATAATAGGAGCCTTGGTAGTACAGTGGTTTAAAGCACCCTGTTATTAACACAGCTGCCTGCAATTACTGCAGGTTTGAATCTTACCAGGCTCAAGGTTGACTCAGCCTTCCATCCTTTCTAAGGTAGGTTAAATGAGGACCCAGTTTGTGGGGGCAATAAGCTGACTTTGTATAAATATACAAAAGTATGAAGGCTATTGCTTAACGCCCTGAGTCTCCGGAGAAGGGCGGCATATAAATCAAAAATTAAAATAAATAAATAAAAAAAAATGTCGAAGGAGATGAATTATCAGAATTGGAAATTATTGGAAATTATTTATACTACTGACATATTACTGTGATAAACTACTAGCAAGGAAAGGGTTACTTTCCACAGTACTCTAACCTGGCTGATAGGGATTTTTTCCTGGGTGCCTAAGAGTGGAGACTTACGGGTAGATATAATATCAAAGCATTTTTTTTCCTGAACGGATTGGAGGGTTTGGAGCCAGAATTGGCTGGCTTTCCTTTTCTGCTGAAATGATGCACGTACACTTGTGAGAAAAGTTAAGTGTTCAGGATAAGCGGCAGTTCTGCAGATGAGGGCGTGTGAGTAGATGTAACTTTTGCTCCCGCCAATAGTCTTAACTCTAAATGGAAAATCATCTCAATCAATACCTCCAGGCAGCTATAGGGATAACGGAAGCAAAATGTTGTTCGTGCGAATGGGGCTTTTGTGTTACTTTCGTTAATGATGCTTCTGCCCCATGATAGCCAGGGGGCTGCTAAATCCCATGGGAGCGGATATTTATTTTCATCAACAAATTATGACAGAGCAGAGGAACTTTGGAGGTAACCGGACACTGAGTGAAGCTACTGCTACTGCTGCTTCTCTAGCCAGCAAGCTGGACAATTGGAACCTGGTGGCTTGATGGTTTTGATCGCAGAATTAATTTTCTAATCTCTGGAGCAATCCACATCGGAGAAGAAGCGAAAGGAGTGGAAAGAGAAGATCCCAAATTGTGACACAAACCAAGGCAATGTCATCACTGTTGAAGGAGGATCTCAACAAGAAGCTATTCAAAACTCTAGGGCAAAATTTGTATGGGTTCATTGAAATTGAGTGTTCAGGCCAAGACCGGTTTTATCTCTGTGCTTCAGGTAAATGGGATCGGGACCTAAGGGGAATTAACTATCTCTAGTTGTTTTCTATCCATTCATTATACTGTAAGAGTATTTTCCTGATTCAAAATTGATTCCAGCCATTAACTAACTTGGCGTTCTGAGAAAAAAAAATACTATTCTATTAGCCTCAGTTCCTTTATCTGATAGAGAGGAAATATACTGCTATATTATTAATATATTATTGCATAATTTCTGCAAGTGAGATGCTTTAAATATACTTGATATTTTGAACGTACTAAAGTAGTTAAGTATTACAACCTGACAGGATCTACATCGGATAGCTGTATTTATAAGGATTTTCAATAAATGTCATAGCAGTCTAAAATAAGATAGTAAACCTAAATGCATGTACTTAGAATTAAGATCTGTTGAAATCAATATAGTTTCCTTCAAAGTAACTGACTGGTATTAGGCTTTTAAGGTGTTCAGGATTAAAAGGCTAATCAACTGCACACATGGATTTTAAATATTAATAATCTAAATTCATAGTACAATTACTTATATAGTATTAGACAGTACCCTTCCCCCAAAAAATTTGATATGATTTTTTTCAAGAAATGTTTTAGATGTCTCGTCGGTAAATTCTTATTGCTAAAGTGGTGGATTAAAGATAGTATGCTTGAGAAATTGAATTTCCTCAAATGCTGACTGAAATGGTAAACATCCTTGTCTGAAAGTAATTCACATTTAAGTAGTTTTAGATCAATATATTTAGGATTGAGTTGTCTTATTTTGTTAACAATGTGGTCCTTTTGAAAAGGACCACATTGATTATTTTTAAATTAGAAGAAATTTTATTTTCCCATAGAAAGCAGCAGACTAAATCTTTCAGTGAAAATATAACTAGATGTTAATAAAACACATTTGATCTGTGGCTTTAAAAATGGTTAGTTCAGGTATTTTTACTTATACAATGTAATAACCCTTTTCTCTTATTTTTGCTTCTAATATAAATACTATAAGTTCTTATTTCAACATTAATATTTTAGAGCCCAATAACTGATGCAAGTCACTTTTTATTTTGCAAATCTAATACCACTCTTCAGCCCATTTTTATAATGAAGCAATGTATTACTGATGAGCAGTACTTCCATCTGGTATAAAATATCTCATACTATCTTAGAAAAATATTTTAGCCAAGAAACATCTACATGTTTGTTTAGAGTACTCCATTGTTTTGACTTAATGATTTTTCTTTTTCATGATATGTTATCACTATTTTAAAATAAGTGTTTTGTAAGTCCTAAACTGTGTGTCAAAAAAATCTAGACTTGTAATATCGATTTCACTGAATAACATTTTAAGTAAAGTTTAATTAATAAAAAGAGGCACTGATTGTAATTTTTCACGTTGCTAAATATTTCTTAATGCAGGATATGCAGAGAATGTAGATACAGAAGGATGACTTTTTCCCCTGAACTATTGAAGGAGCTCCTATAATATCACTAAAAGTACTATATCCAAAGCAGTAAGAGAGGATTGGTGCAGAATTTGGGCTTGGAACGTTAGAGTGGATAAGATTAAATGTAACTTCACATTATATATAATGAAGTAAAGGACAGAATCAGATAAATGGATTCTTTTTCAAAGTTGGGGGGGGAGAAATTGTGCCATGCTATCTGCAATTAAAAACCTGATAGGAAATTGTTATCAATTCTGAGGAAAGTCATGCGTAAAAAATAAGAAACAAATACACATATAAACTGGTATGCATCTGTGTGTGAATGATTTCTTAAATTTAATATTTAATATTGCTTCATTTCTTTGGTGTGTACCCCTTTGGGACACACATGTGTTGTGAAGATATCCATTGGAAGAAGGATGGCTCTCACTCTGTTTCATTCTGAGTTCTGAATGGATGCCACTTTTTGTTTTATGCATCCAAGCAGATTTGCCATTTGAAATAAAATCTGAACAAATATTGGGGGGGAAAATCATTCTAAAACTCAGAATCTGTTTTGCTCACTGAAATCTATTTTAGCGTTCACTCCCTGTGCTTCTTGCCTCATTTCCTTTAGCTTTAGAAGGAAGCTCAGTTCCAATCGATCTGATTGATCATTGAATTGCTCAGAGAGGACCTACGTAAATTTCCACAAACTACCGTGTTTCCCCGAAAATAAGACCCTGTCTTATGAGAGCCGAGGTGGCGCAGTGGTTAGAGTGCAGAACTGCAGGCTATTTCAGCTGACTGCTGGGTGCAGTTCAGCAATTCAAATCTCATCAGGCTCAAGGTTGACTCAGCCTTCCATCCTTTTGAGGTGGGTAAAATGAGGACCCAGATTGTTGGGGGCAAGAGGCTGACTCTGTAAACCGCTTAGAGAGGGCTGTAAAAGCATTATGAAGCGGTATATAAGTCTAAGTGCTATTGCTATTGCTGTCTATTATTTTATTTTATTTTTTGCCACCAAAAAAGGGACCAGGACTTATTTTTGGGGGGGATGTTGTCCACTGACTGACCTCACTTGTGGGTGTCGCCCCTGGCCTCTCGTTTGCTATCAGAGGCCTTCAGGAACTTCTTCATCCAGCAAGGCCAACAAGGCTTTCCTGAAGGCCTCTGTCGCAGGAGAGCAGGAGCCTGGATAGCTCAACAGACTAAGCACTGCAATTTAACACCAGCTGTCTGCAATTAAAGTAAGATCGAATCTCGCCAGGCTCAGGGTTGACTCAGCCTTCCATCCTTTCTAAGGTAGGTAAATTGAGGACCCAGTTTGTGAGAGCAATAAGCTGACTTGGTATAAAAATATACAAAAGTATGAAGGCTATTGCTTAACGCACAGTAAGCCGCCCTGAGTCTCCGGAGAAGGGCGGCATATAAATCAAATTTAAAAAAACAAAACCTTGCTGGCTGCAGAAGAGATGGGCCGAGGTGTGCAAGGCCTGGCTGCAACTATCCTAAAGTAAGTAGTAGGGCAGCTCCACAACCCCATCCCCACCCTACCTTAATTTTTATCCGTGCACCCTGGAGTAGATGGAGCCTTGATTAGGGCTTATTTTGGGGGTAGGGCTTATATTGGGCACACATGTAAAAATCAAGCTAGGACTTACTTTCTGAGTAGGTCGTATTTTCGGGCAAACGGTAATTTTGAAAGGAAACTAAGCGATTGCTAAATTACACGAAAAATCCAGATTTTTCCCCTCCTGTTCCCTTGTATCTGATTCTTGAAGACTGCTTGGCAAGTCCCTGCAGTTTTCTTGGAAGCGTTTTATATAAATGATTTGCCATTGCCTTCTTTTTAGGACTGAAAGAAAGTGACTGGCCCAAGGTCACCTAGCTGACTTTATGCCTAAGGCAGGACTAGAACTCACAGTCCCCCAGTTTCTAGCCTGATGCATTAGTCACTACATCATACTGGTTCTCAATGGGGAGTTGTTCACGTGTCAAAAGGATTTGTGGTTTCATTTTTTAAAGAAAAGTCTTTCGTGCTACTTTTGAAAATAGGAGGCTAAAGTGATTAAAATTGCCCTAGGCATGTTCTGGCCTTTGCTTCAGTATAATAATGTTAAATGACAGTTATAGCTTTATTTACTTGAAAGTAGATAAATAGTAAAGAAAAATAAGTTCACCCTTAAGTCAAACTTGACTTTTGATTTCTTCATCCAAGCAGGTTTTTTGGCAGTGTTATAGCAAAAGGATTGTTATTGCCTTAGATTAGAATGGATGTTTTTGTTGTTTTGTTTTTGATTCCACAGTCTATCCTACAGCTTTAGAATTTCTATATGATTTCCCAGGGGTGAAACAGGTTTTGACAGGTTCTGGAGAACTGGTAGCGGAAATTTTGAGCAGTTCGGAGAACCAGTAGCGGAAATTTTGAACAGTTCGGAGAACCAGTAGTGGAAATTTTGAGTAGTTCGGAGAACTGGCAAATACCACCTCTGGTTGGCCCCAGAGTGGGGTGGAAATTGAGATTTTGCAATATCCTTCCCCTGGAGTGGGGTGGGAATGGAGATTTTGCAGTGTCCTTCCTCTGCCATGCCACCAAGCCACGCCTACAGAACCTGTAGTAAAAAAAAATTGGATTTCACCACTGTGATTTTCTCAAACAAATTCTAACCACAGCTACCCATACTTAGATTCTGAAATCAACCAAGGTTAGTTACGTCTATCAGTGTTTATCACTGAGATGAATATTGCAGATATCTAGATAGGATGCTGAGGATCTCTTATTGTTTAAGAAAGTATGTAGGGACTTTTTGTATGCCTCCAATCTAAAACCATGAAGAATTGCCAATTAGTTCAGTTGATATTCCGATGCACCAAAGGATCTGAATCAGGATAAGACCATTTTTTATATTCCTATTCAGGTTGGTCTTATTGTCATATACTGTTGATATAATTTTCATTCTCTATGACACACACAAACATACACGTATAATATGTGACAAGTTTCATCCTATATTCCGACTCCTCAGTCATAGGGGTGGGATTCAACCGGTTCGGGCCAGTTTGGGCAAACCGGATGCTAATTTTACATCTGGTTCGTCGATCTGGTAGTTGCAAGGTCTGGCTGGCTCTGCTCACCCCACCCCTCCCCTCCCAGGAGTCTTCATGCAGCCTGTTTTGGATGCCAGGTAAGTGCAGGCCCACACAGAGGCTCTGGGAGGGTGAAAACCGGGCCTCCCAGATGTTCCGGAAGTCTGGAAACAGGCCTGTTTCCGGCCTCCGAAGGGCCTCCAGAGCCCAGGGGAGGCAGTTTTTGCCCTCCCAGAGGCTCGAGGAAAGCCTCCGGAGCCTGGGGAGGGCAAAACACACCCACCCACCCACATCGTGGTGCAAGAGGCCAAGTAGGCCACGCCCACCCAGCAACTGGCCAGAGAACCGGTTGCTAAAATTTTTGAATCCCACCCCTGATCAGACTTGTGGAGTCATGATGAAACTCATCACGTACAGTCTTCTCACAGGGAACACCACCACACAGGGTATCTGCCCATCCTTCCAGGTCAGAGAACATGATTGCCCTCCTGATCCCTTCCTTTAA